AAGTGGAGTTAGGGCCACTTCAAACAGGCGCGTGTGGCTATATGAAGTGGCTATAGATGTAGCGTGAAGTAAATCTGCAGAGCTGGGGAAAAGCTGTACAGCAAACTTCCTCGATGGGCGTATCTCAACGCCCCACTGATCTGCAAGGTCGACCTTCGGTCCTCTGGATCTGGAAAGAACGCCCCGTCCCGATGACGCCACACGCCCGGGCCGCGCCCACCAGGCTCTTGCGCGCGGCGTTGCCATGGCAGCGAGGGGGCGCGGTTGAGGGTACGTGCTTCCGGAAAGATGGCGGCTGTGGAGGGGATGTCGGCGACAGCGGCTTTCGGAGCGGTGGCTTCGGAGTCCAAGGCCGAGGCCGAAGGGGAGGAGGCGGAGGCGACGCCGCCGCCGTGCGAGGCGGTGCGGTGGGCGCCGGTGGGCGCGGTGGCCGAGGCGCAGGCGGCGCTGTGCGAGGAGGAGGAGGACGGCTCGGAGGGGTGCGCGGTCTCCGGCCCCTCGTCGCCCCCGGAGTCCCCGGGCCGGGCGCTGCGGCGGCTGCGGGCCGAGCGGCGGCGGCTGGACTCGGCGTTGCTCGCGCTGTCCTCGCACTTCGCGCAGGTGCAGTTCCGGCTGCGGCAAGTGGTGCGCGGGGCCCCCGCCGAGCAGCAGCGCCTGCTGCGAGAGCTCGAGGACTTCGCCTTTCGCGGCTGCCCGCACGTGCTGGGCTGGGGCGCCCCCGGGGACCCGACCGCCGAGGAGGCCGACAGAGATCGACCGCGCGAGGGCCCGCAGGGGCTGCGGCCCAACGAGCCGGTGAGGCCCGCCAGCGGGCTGGGGGCGGGGGGTGGGGTGCTGGGAACGGATGCGCCCGGTGGCGGCCCTGCGGAGAGAAAGGCCTGGCAGTGGGACGGTGGAGGGAACGGGATGGAAAGACATCTGTGTGCCTAGAGGCGGCTCTGCCGAAGGGGACAGCCCTGGCAGCAGGAGAAGCACTCCCCCCCCTTTAAATTTATAGACATCTGTGCATCTGGAGACACCAACTTCTGAAAGCGGGTGAAGGTAGAGAGGAACAGGATAGAGACCTTTGGAGCCTGGAAGTGGCCCTGCTAAAGAGCCCTGGCCTGGGGACAGCTAGGTGGCACAGTGGATAGAGCACCGGCCTTGAAGTCAGGAGGACCCGAGTTCAAATTCGGCCTCAGACCAAACACTTGACAGTTACTAGCTGGGTGACTCTGGCCAAGTCACTTAACCTCAATTGCCTAAAAATAAAAAAATTTTAAAAAAAATAAAGAGGCCAGGCCTGGTAGCGGCAGATTAGCTTCCAGTCCCCTCTACTGACCCTAGGAATCCCATAGGATCCAGCTTTATATCTGGAAGGGACCATAGATGCCGTCTGGTGCAACCCCCTCACTTTACAGATGAGGAAACTAAGGCTTAGGACGGTTAAGTAAGTGACTTGCCCAAAGAGATGTGAACCTAAGGGCCTGTGACTCCAAAACTGATCCACTCAGCCCTTCTGTGTCTCAGGCAACTCCCCACACTTGTCTAGTGAGTCACAGGCAATTGGATTTGCTTCAGCTCGGGGAATCCCTACACCTGCAGTTCCCCAGGCTGATGAAACCTTGAGGGATCGAAGGCAGGGGGAACAAAAACTAAAGAAAAAGGTAAGGGTTGGAGGCCTATGTAGGGAGCAACATACTATAGCAGAAGTTCTGTCTCAGGTTCTGCTGCTTTTTAGCTGCCCCCTTGGGCATCCCCTTCACCTCTCTGGTTCTATTTCCTCATCTCTAAAATGAAGGGGGCCCATTATAATCTCTAAAGGCCTTTCTAGTTGTCCCTGGTTCTGAGGATGGTTCTGTGAAGGTGAATCCCATGACTGACTTAGTTAGTGTGCCTGCTGCTGCCGCCATCCCTTCCAAAAGTGTAGATCATCGTCCAAGCCAGTTCAACCTTGACTTAGTGCAAGGAAGAAATTTATAAAGGCTTGGGAGTAGCAGTGCAAGGAATCTGGATGAGGCCTGTCCATGATTTCCTAGAAAGATTTGGAAGACATTTAATCCTAAATCTTGTGTTTGATTTAGGATTTTATATAAAATGGTCTAACTACTGAAACACAAATCTTGACTTATTTGGGCACTTTAACCCTCCTTGTCCCCCCACCGCAATCACTCACAGCCTTAGGTTGAGGTTCTATTAATTACTGATAAGTCAGTTCATGGAATAATCTAACCTTGTGTTCTTTACCACAGCAAATTTCCTTTCGGGACTGACTCTGGGATGGCCCAGGTGTACACAGCTTGATATGCTGAGGGCTGTGTATCTCCTAGACATTGTTTTAGTTTGCTGTTAAGTAACACACACACTCCCACATATGGCTTCCTTCCCACCAGAAAGTGAAGTCCGGGAAGCTTCTTATCAGCAAAGAATGTTGACCTACTTCTTTTCATCTGAAATCTGCCTAGTATAATCCCTCCTATTTGCACTTCCATTCCCTCCTCTCACCCAGGCTTGTTTGGCCCTGGTTGATCCACAAACTCTAAGGAAGCCTCCCTTTCTTGAACAGAAGTGCTGTGAATGTGATCAGGCCTCTTGTTCTAGGGACATTAGCACCAAATGTCCTGTCTGCATTTGATACCATTTTTTTGTACTTGCTCGTATCTGCTTTAAGAAATCAATGTAGGGGGCAGCTAGAGCACCAGCCCTGAAGTCAGGAGGACTTGAGTTCATATTCGGCCTCAGACCAAACACTTGACACGTACTAGCTGTGTGACCTTGGGCAAGTCACTTAACCCCAATTGCCTTACCAAAAAAAAAATCAGTGTAGAACTTTTTAAAAAAATTGACACTCTCTATCACTACCGTGCAATTTTCTCAAATCCTTTATTAAGTGGCTGTGAGCTTATATACAGGGAAGCTTTGAAATAAAATGGTAAGACTAGTGGACAGATCAGAGAACCTTCTATTGAAACCCTGTTTTTGCTACTTAGGCACCTTCACCTCTCTGGGCCTGAGTTTCCTCGTAAGTAAAATGGTCCAGATGAACCCTGAGCTTCCTTTCCAGCTCTAAATATGTGATCATGGGACCCCGTGGTGGAGGGTGTATTGACAGCTTTACTAGATATTATTTAGAATTCCTTTTACAAGGGTTTCCTATATTCAGACTGGGGCGGGGGGAGTGGAGGATGGGGAGGACGGACATTGTTTTCTACCTTGCCACATTTTTCTAGTGTTCATTAACTTACCCTGTGGTTAACCTTGTTGTGTTTGCACCCATTCTAGTAAATACCATATTGTTCTCGAACTGCAAAGAACAGTTTTCTACAGAGACTGTCATGCAAACTGTCTTGTTTTGTTTTGTTTTGTTTTGCCTTTATCTGCAAAGAGTTAGGACACTTTGAAAAATAAACTTCCCCCTTCTCTTCTGTGGCTGGTTAAACAACTTTTCATGGCCACAGTTCAAGACTAACAGGAATCTGTGGTCAGATTGATAGTGGACACTGCTGTGATTCCCCTAGGCTGTAGTCATCATTTGTAGAGAAGAGGAGATTGTGGGATTTTTATTTAGAGCCAACCAAAAGCAAGTGGAAGTGTTTATAAAATATCATGACATTAATTTGCTGTTTTTGCATTTGTTCTTTCTCATGCCTTACAACTGCAGGGATTGGTAAGTGCCACCTTAAGGCTATATCCTATACTCTTGTGGACAAACTAAAAATAAAGGCTTAGAATTCTGTGTGATTTTCGTGCTTTTTTTTAATATGGTTTTTTGTTTAAGAAAAACAAAGATAGATTTATGCTCTCCAGAATAAATCTAAAAAGTCTTAATTGTGGAATTTAAAAAAATAATTCCATGCTTAAATTGGAAGCTAAAAATGGGGGTGGGGAGTGCCAAGGGAAGGAGTCTGAGGCCTGGAGATTTTTAATCAGCAGTTTACTCTGTGCTGCCTTAAGGGCCATTTAGTAATTTGGCTCTACAACTCCATCCGTGCACTGAGTGCCAGAGAATGGAAGAAGAGATCGCTGTACATTTCTGTCTATCTGCTGGTATATGTTTTTCTCTTATTATTTTCCTTAGAGAAATACAAACATTTCATTCTTGACTTAAGATGGGCCATTAGTACCATAACTATACGTTGTCACATTTGACAATGAATGGATAGGAATGGGAATGGCCTTACATTCATCCTTTCTTCCTCCCCAAGACGAAAGTTGCTGGGAATTAGAGAGAGAACAGCCAAGGAACTAAGCAGGGGTGATACTCGGGTGATATGTCCCCAGACAAGGTTTTAGAAGGAAGAAGTAATGGGCCACCTCAGACTTGTACCAGTCATTCAGTGGCTGACTGGATTATAGTTTCATTAGGATGAGATGTCTGGGCTCTGTAAACTCAAATTTTTTTTCTTTTATGTTTTGTTTTATTTTACTTTTCTCTTAGTTATCTAGAAAATTTCCTTTCAAAATACTGAAATTTTAGCTAGGGTTAATAAGGGACAAAGCAATGGGTTGTGCTCTTTCCTAGAAAACTAGGATTAGAATATCCTGTAAATGTGCTAAATGTGGTGGCAGCTCCTCATGGAACCCATTAGAGAAGTGATAAGGAATCAAGTTGGAATGATTTTCTCTACTTGACTAGTACTACCCCCCCCCCCCAAGACTCTTGGAGACGTGGGTATGAGCTAGAAAGTCCCCAAGAGGCAATATTGCCTGAGGAAAGTATGGGTTATTGTGCTGGGGAGGAGATCCAGGAAGCCTTCCTGGCAGAGATATCAACTAGTAGTTTCAGCTCTGACGGTCTAGGGTAGATGAAGCAATTAGAATAACAGGCTCCACTGTGTCCATGGACTCCTGCCAGAGAGAGGACACTCAGTGTCGCCTGCACCAGTCCTTTTTGTTCTCAACATAAGAATTCTGAGTATTTACTTATTTTAGAGTGAACAGGAAAAACAGGAGCGTGTAGAAGCCCAAAGAGAGAAGCAGCGAGAGCTCATTGTTCAACTCAAGACTCAGCTAGATGACCTGGAAACCTTTGCCTACCAGGAGGGCAGCTATGACTCCCTGCCACAGTCCATGGTATTGGAAAGACAGCGGGTAAGTACATCCAGGAGGTTCCTCTGGCAGTGGCCCTGACTGACATGTGGTGCCCCCCCCCCTCCACTATGACCACCCCAGGCTGTCAGGGTTTGGTCTTCGCTGACATTTTTTTAGCTGACTCTTCCCAGAACTCTTTTTGGGCTACTTCCTTCCCTTACCACCAGTCAGGTTTTTAGGAGATAGGAACAGATTTTATTATAGCATTAGTTTAAGCATGATAGACCTGGAAATCTGCCGTATTCTTTATACACATACACATGTCCATAGAACTGTACTTCAAGTCATATAATATATGGTTGTGTTTAATCAGTAGATTTATCTTCCTACCCATATCTTCTTTAAGGTAATACTATATTAAAATTATTTTGCAACACTTCATATTTGCATCCACATGGGAAACAATCATTTTCTCTTGGGAACAGTCCTGCTCCAGAAGTATGTAGGAGGCAGGTCACACAAAAGTCACATGACTGAGCCAGAGATACTGCCCTAGAATGAATTTCCAGCAGGTCCTGATAAAGTGCCCAGATGATTTTTCTCTCAAATTTGCCACAATATTCCTCAGTCTTTAAACTGATTTTTTTTTCTCTAGTTACCTGGGACCTCTAGTTACCTAGTTGATCAGAAATTTGAAGAAATCAGAATAAATCTATGCTGGGGCTTTAGGAAACAAATTTCAGTCATATCTTACCTAATGTCATTACCTGGTTTTACAAAAATACCATGTTAGGAAAAACACAAAGAGGCAGATAATTTACCCTGATAGTGTTATAAATGAGTGATTTTCCAAATGGTGGAAGACATGTTGTGGCTTTATGATGGCATTTACATCATTCTGATGCATTCACAGTGTTGTTGTGAAACCTCATGAGCAGCCTTATGTAGGGTGGCTTATAGAGTGGCCCTACATCATAGAGACCGCAAGTGAGACAGAAGGTCTGGAGACTTTTTGGTTAATCAGCTGTAGCCTCATTTCCACTGGTCATGGGCTTGGGAATGTGTATGTCTCCCCCTTGTGGAACTCCATTCAAGCAGAAAGTGTGCCAGATGTCCCCGTGGTGAGCAGTCTGTCATTGCTTGTGGCCTCATGCAGGTGATCATAGATGAGCTAATAAAGAAGTTGGACATGAATCTGAATGAAGACCTCAGCTCACTGTCTCCTGAAGAGTTACGGCAGCGTGTGGATGTAGCCGTGGCCCAGATAGTCAATCCTGCCCGAGTGAAGGAGCAGTTGGTGGAACAGCTAAAAACTCAGATCCGAGACCTGGAAATGTTCATTAATTTCATCCAAGGTCAGTGGGCCAGCCAAGGCAGGGGGTGAAGGCATCTCAGCATCACAATTCCATGTCCACATATCTGGAGCACCAGTGACTAGCCCATTATAACTTAATAAATGATCATAATAAATAAAAACATTTTCCAACCCCATCCCAGCCTCTTCCTCAGAGAGGCTAAGTGAGTGTCCTCTCCTTGTGACTTTGTATTCCAGATGAAGTGGGAAGCCCCTTGCAGACAGGAGGTGAGTGCAGGATGTCAGAGAAGCCTGGAAATTGCTCCTCGAGGGCTGGTACTCGATCGCCTTCTGGAAATAAAAAAGGTGAGTGTTGCCTCATCCTCGGCAGCTCTTCATCATGTCTGTGGGCCATATGTGCCTCTCATGGACAGGTGGTTGTTTTTTTCCTACAGCGAACGCTGACGAGTCGAGGAAGATCCGTGAGACGGGGCTGCAGCTGATGCGGCGAGCACTGGCCGTGCTCCAAATCTTTGCAGTGAGTCAGTTTGGTTGCACCGCTGGTCACATTCCCCGCACCCTGTGGCAGAGGGACCAGGTCGATAGGGACTATTCTCCTCTATTGAAAAGGCTGGAGGCCTCAGTGGACAGGGTGAGGCAGCTAGCTCTGAGGAACCAGATGAATGATCATGTCATCAGCAGTACCAGCCTTCAGGACATCCCCCTTGGGGGCAAAGATGAGCTCACGGTAGCAGTGCGAAAGGAGCTAACCGTGGCCATGCGAGACTTGCTAGCCCATGGATTGTATGCCTCCTCGCCAGGAATGAGTCTAGTGATGGCTCCCCTTGCTTGCTTGCTCCCTTCCCTCTCCTCTGCCCCTCAGACCATGCACCCCTGGGAGCTCTTTGTGAAATACTACAATACCAAGAACGGCCGAGCTTTTGTGGAATCCCCAGCTCGGAAGCTGTCCCAGTCCTTTGGGCTGCCTGTGACAGGGGGTGCTGTCGTGACGCCCAAACAAAGCTTGTTAAGTGCCATCCATGTAGTGCTGACTGAACACGACCCCTTTAAGCGCAGTGCAGACTCAGAATTGAAGGCTCTGGTGTGCATGGCCCTGAATGAGCAGCGTTTGGTGTCTTGGGTCAATCTGATCTGCAAATCTGGAGCGCTCATTGAGCCACACTACCAGCCTTGGAGTTATATGGCACATACGGGCTTTGAAAGTGCCCTCAATCTGCTCAGCCGCCTGAGCAGCCTCAAATTCAGCCTCCCTGTGGACCTGGCTGTCCGACAGCTCAAGAACATCAAAGATGCCTTTTGATGACCAGGCCCTTGCACCTGACTAGTGCCTCTCCATAGGGATGAGTTACCACTTTACCACATGAGGCTGAGGGAGTTGGAGGAAGAAGCATCTGGGTTACAGGTTATTCCTAGGCTTTGCACAGGTGGCCAGCCCTAGTGCCTCTAAAGTCTGTTACCCACACTTAGCACCTTAGAAATTCACACTGGAAAGCCCCTGGTTGAAAATGCCCTGCCCTGGTATATGACTACCTGCACATGTCTGGGTGCACATGTGGATGTGCATGGTCTTTCTCCAAGAGGCATCTTTGCCTTCCCAGCTGCTCTTTTGACCCACAGGTACCCTTATCAGAAACTCAGCAAACCCAGGAGTGCATTCATCCTGTGGCATTGAAAATAAGGGTTGGCAAAGATGTGTTCCCATTCGTATGGGGACAAGTTAAGCCTAACATTCTGCTGTCCAAATGAGAGGTTCCCTCTTTTTATTTTTTTATTCTGGACTTGACCCCAACCCCCAACAAGATGAACACTTCCGCATACACAGTAAAACAGAAGAAAGAATTGTACCTCAAACTCTAGATCTCCATACAGACAGCTCATTTTTCCTTTTAATCCTTTTTTTTTTTTTTTTGAAACAGGAGGTTGGGTACCCATAATACATAGAGTATTGGAGTGGAAGTCAGAACGACTTGAATTCAAATCCTCCCACTTACTTGCTGTGTGACTCTTAGTAAGTCACTTAACCTGTCTGCCTCAGTTTCCTCTTCTGTAAAAATAGGGATAACAGCACCTACCTCCCTGGGTTGTTGTAAGGGTCAAATGAGATAATATTTGTGAAGCTCTTTGCCAAACTAAAGCACCATATAAATGCTAGCTATTTTATCATTGTTATTTATTTTTTTCTTAAAGCAGGTTTGAGTGATCCAAAGCCAGGCCCCCTTGTGACCATAATTTCTCCTTTGTACCCAAAGATGATCTTTTTGCCAGAAGTTTCTGTGTCTTTCCTCTGTTCTAAGTCAGTGAATACAGTAAGAAAAATTGCATTCTCCTACACCTTCTGACAGAAATTCAGGCAGGGCTATAAGGGGGTTAGCCGCATGTTTTTTATTTCTTTGTTTTTATTTTAAATGAAGCCATTTAAAAGCATCTTTTCTTGTAGAGATCAGAGCCTAAATCTGAGTGGGCAAATGTTTTGCCAATTTGTGTGCCATGACAAATATTCTCTGGCCTTTTGTGTTTCCATCCACCTACCCATCCTTCTTTCAGCAAGACTCTTGTATCCCTAGGGATTTGAACCTGATTTCTCAGAGGCAGAGCTGTTATTGATCTGTCAGGGACTCTCATGCCAGGGCATACGTGTACATCTAAAAATACACATGCACAACCAGTATCAACTTTTCCTTAATTTAGGAGCTACCTTGGCACAGTCTGTCTTGGACGCTGAGAGAGAAATAAAGCCTGGCCTAGCTTTCCTCTCCCTCCAGGGAAGGCTTTAGGTTGATCTCAATATGCTGGTAACTGGCCCCTCCTATAGTGGGTGATGATGCTTGTCTGCTGGTGACTGTTCCCAAGACTGAAGTGGGAAGAACTAAATAGCTAATTCTAGAACAGCTCCATTTAGGATTTATCTCTTGAGTCTTTTTATTCTACTTTTTTTTTTCACTCAGTTTATGGCAATTGCCAGTACATAACTGTCCAAAGCTGAATGTACAACTTTTCTGGACAAGCCTCTGAGGTTTAAACACTTTCGAAAAAGCTTAGTCTTCAGTTACATGTGTGCAATTGTGAGATGATCTTGTGTCTGCTGGGTTACATGGTGCATTTTAACTTAATTTTTTTTTCCAGCAAATGTCACTTATTTAAAATTGTGTTGGTTTTGATCCAAATTTATCCACTGTGTGTGACAGAATAAATGTAAATGTTGTAAATGATAACCCCTCCTTGTTGCTAATAGAGCTGGAGTATTTTGTATAAACTTTCATAAAGTCTTTAGTGAGAAGTGTTTCCTTGAAAGGTGGGTTTCCATCTCAGATTCAAAAAAGGTCTCCTGGGTCTTCTGATTTTTGACCGTCAAGTATTAGGCATTCCAATCCCTCTAGCAAGTAGCTCCATTCTCTGGTAAGCTCTGCCTTTTGTAGATGGGGATATCCGGAGGAGTAAGGCTGGGTTGTACCCTGTTGGGTAAAAATAAATTGTGCTACTGCTTCCCAAGAAGGTCCCCAAACAGTAAGCTCCCCTGAGGAGGTTCCTGCCCCTGGCTGCCCATGTGAATTTTCTGCCAATATCGCCAGGAAATACACAGTGTAAAGATTTCTCCAGTGCCCCAAGAAGGGTACCATAGTATTTCACAGATTCTTCTTCTCTAGCAGGACCTCTTCCTCCACCTTCACCCTGCCTCCCCTACAGTCCAGTCCCTTCTTGACTACACAGAAGGAATTTGGAGTACAAACTATATAGAGGATGTAAATAATATGTATTCACTCAACAAACATTAAGCATTTGCTGTGTGCAGTGTACTGTCCTAGACAATATGCGCAGATAAGGTAGGAGCAGGCCCCTGCCTTGTCTTTGTTTTTATGTTAAATGGTAATATAACTCAGCTAGGCACAGGTTGAAAGCATTTAGCTTCCTCTGTTGTCAGTTCCCCTCTGCAGGTCCCTCTTCTAGTCATTTGTCATCACTGTTGCCATTCACCTGTTGCTACTTACAGGCAAAGGTGAGTCTTCTTTCAACCCTCTACACTCATCCATTGCAGTAGCCACTTGGCCTGACACTCTGGCTGGTATTCCCTGGGTTCCACCCACAGTAAATCTCTCATTTGCCTTTGCTTAGCCTTTTAGTTGAGCCTCCATCTAAATCAAAACATCATAGTTTCGATTTCCTAGCTCTGTTCTTTTTCTTTTATTTTCCCCCTGAACCTTGTTTACCCCAGCCTGTCCAGCTTGGGATCAGCTTATTCTTTCTAGGTTTCCCTTTTTTTCCTCCTCTAAACCATGAGTTTCACCAGAAAGCCACTGTGGTTCTTCATAATTTTATTCTCTGACACCATAATTGCTGTTGCCACTGATTTTATTTTCCCCATCCCCTCCATTAAGGCTTGCCACACATACCATCCCTTTCCCAGGCAAACTGATACCACTCTATTATACTGGGTTAATCACAGTTATAGGTCTTCATCAGCATAAAGCAAAAGGATCATCATTTTGCTCTAGGAAGTCCCAACACTGCAATCTATTTTAAAAAATATTTTGGTTAGACCTGTAGCTTTATCCATGTGGAGGAACCCCAGCACGAAACGCTGAGAGTGGCAGCTTCTTTGTAATTTACAGAGTAGCTTGGAGCACTGTCACTTGCTTTCCAGCCCAGATCTAATCTCAACTGGGCCCTCCCTAACGCCAGGCAATCCTTTTACTCCTCCCTAATTGATTCTCTATCCCATTATCCACAACCTCTCCTCAAGCCTCTCCTGATTCGTTCTCTCGCAACTTTCCCGTGCTGAAAAAAGGAGGCAATTTGTTGAGTGCTCCCTCAGCTTCCCTCTTCCTTGTCTCACATCAAGTTGACATTATCCCTTGCCATTTCCTCTTTCACTGTGATGAAGTAATGACCTTTCTCACCCAAGGCAAGCCCTCTAGATGCACCCTTGATCCCTCTCCCTCCCATCTTCTCCAGAGCAGACTACTCCCACTGTCACCACCTGCTTTGATTTTCAATCTGTCCCCTATCTACTGGTTCCTTACCTGCTGCCTACAAGCATGTCCATGTCTCCCCTACCTTAAAAAACTCTCACTAGATGGTACCATGCCCACCATCATCCCATGTCTCTCCTTGGTCAGCCAGTCTTCATCCATACACGTACACCTATTACCTGCACTTCCTCTCCTCTCCTTAGTCTTCTGCAATCTTGCTTTACCAGACAGCTCACCTCATCACAAACTGATTTTTCCAAAGCTACCAAAGATTTCTTTACTGCCAAACCTAATTCTTCTCAGTCTTCATCCTCCTTCACCTCTGTGCATCATTTGACACAGCTGACCACGATTTATTCCTGGACATTTTCTCTTTTTTGGATTTTTGTGACTTTATTCACTCCTGGTTCTCCTGTCTGACTGCTCCTTCCCTGCCTCCTTTGCTAATTCATCATCATGATAAGCTCAGTACCCCAAGGCTCTCAGTTAGGCTCACTTCTCTCTTCTCTCTAGGCATCCCCTGTGTTCCGTTATCTCCAAGCAGATGATTCTAGGATCTGTATATTCAGTATCTTCTGAGCTCCAGTCCCACATTGCCAACTGCCTTTTGGGTATTTCTTTCCGATGGGATATCCTATAGGTATCTTAAATTCAAGTCCAAAACAAAACTCATTTTCTTTTCCTCCAGATCCACACATCTGAAATTCTGCCAAGGATACCACCATCCTTCCAGTCATCCAGGCTCACAACTTTGGTTGTCATCCTTGACTCCACATTATTTTTTTTTTCCTCATTTTTATTTTTATTTTATTTTTTTACTTTTTTTTTAAACGTGTGTTTAAAACTTTGGGTTCCAATTTTCTCTCTTCCTCCCTCCCCACCCACCCTCATTGAAAAGGCAAGCAACTCAATATAGGCTATACATGTGCAGTTATGCAAAACAGTTCCATAGTAGACATGCTGTGAAAAACTATCTCTATTTCCCTTAATCCTATCCCGCCCCATTTATTCTATTCTTTCTTTTGACCCCCGCCCTCCTCAGAAGTATTTGCTTCTGATTACCCCCTTTTCCAATCTGCCCTCCTCTCTATCATCCCCCTACTCTCTTGTCCCCTTCCCCTCCTATTTTCTTGTAGGGTAAGACAGATTTCCATACCCAGTTGAGTGTGTATGTTATACCCTCCTTAAGTCAAATCCTATGAGAATAAGATTCACTCATTTCCTCTCACCTTCCCCTAGTTCCCCTCCACTGTAAC